ACCCACAAATTATGTTTTAGTTTTATTCTTATTCTATTCAGAATTTTTTTTTCATTATTCATCTGATTTCCTGTTTTACTCATGGATTCCTTAGAAATGTGTTATCCAATTTCCAAATATTTGTAGTAAATACAATAAAATTAACATTTATTATCTTTCTTATTTTATTGTGTTATAAAATTTCACTATGTTTATATTTATTCAGACTAATTTTTCAACTTAGTATATTCTTCACCATTGACTATAATCCATATACACTATGTTGGAAGTTATGTTATATAAAATTGGTCAAGCTAGCTCAGACTTTTTCAATTTTCTATAGTATCAGGATTAAATGTCCTGTTAATGATTAAGAGTGGAATGTTGAAGTATCTTACTATATTTTTAAACTATCTAGTATAATCTTTAAAATATATGTATTATATATTGTATAATATAATATATAATATATTATGATGTGATATATATTATATATATAATCTTTCAAATCTTTCAATCCCATCAATTTTGCCACAGGTATTTTGAGTTATTGATTTTATGTGTGTGTAAATATATAGTTGTGATATCTCTTTGGTAAATCAATAATTTTACATTATGAAAAGTTTCTCTTTGTCTGTAGTAACATTTCTTGTCTTCCTTTGATGTAAACATAGGTAATCTAGAACCCTTAAGGTTAATCTCATCTTTTACCCTTTATTTATCTTTTGATTTTCAGCATTTTTGTGTCTTTGGATCAAAAATGTGTCTCTTGTGTATTACATATCATTAAGCAAATCCCATCTACCAATTGTTTATTGTTTGAAATGTTTAAAACCCTCACATTGATTTTTTTTTTGGTACCAGGGATCAAACTTGGGACCTTGGGCCTGTGAGGCAGGCAGCAGAACCACTGAGCTAAATCCCTGGCCCCTCACATTGATTATTGACCTATAGTGTTTCCGTGATAGTTGTATGTTTAAGTGTCTGTTTTGTTTCTTTTCCTATTTTATTGTCTTTACTTTTGCTTAATAAATACTTTAGTACAACATTTTAATCCTTTTGTTTGCTTTTTTGTTATATATTTTAAAATTTATTTTCTTAGGTATTGCTCTAAGAAATACATTATCTTCACTTATCACCCATTACTCCAAAAAAACCCTAAATTCCAATTAAATATAGAAACTTTCCTGCACTATATCTTTTTCCCTCAATATGTGCTATTTTCATCTATGTTACACCTAGATAGGATACCAACTTGATATTTTTGATTATAAATATTTTTATACAATCCTAAGTATTTTAAAGATGTTAATAGAAAATGGGCATTTATGCTTATATATTGAACTATCCTGTGGTATTTTATTCTTTTCACCTTTAAGATGTTCTTTTAGTATTACAGATAATGTCAGTCTACTAACAATGACTATGCCTAGTACATTTGTTATAGCTTTCATTTTGAACATTATTTATGGATACAAGTTTTTTGCTAAGTTTTTCTCTTGCTGTGTTGACTATCCCATTTCACTGCCTTCTGGCCTCCATTGTTTCTGATATGTAGTCAGTTGTTACTCTTGCTCTTTCTATGTGGTATTCTCTGGTTATCTTATATATTTTCTCATATTGTTTGATTTTGAAAATTTGATTGTTATTGACTTTACTTGTGGACTTTTTAGTATTAATCTTAATTCAGTTTTCTTGAGTTTCTTGGATCTATAAATTAAGGATTGTTTTTAAACAAATTTGAACATTTTATGTGATTATAATTTAATGAAAGGAGAGTGAGAGGAGAGAGATAATAAAAAATGAAAGCTAAATTATCTAAGAATGTAATTTTCTAGATTTATAAATACACCTATTCTTCATATTGACTATTTCCTGTGAGTACTTATGATAGAGAATAGCAAAAAATTAATGTTCACATGAAGGCAAATCTTCATGAAAATTTAGAGTTCTAGAGATAAAATAAGGATTTGAAAAATTTCTAAGGAGAAAAAAATTGCTTCTCCAAAGAAATATGGATTTTTAGAAGAGAATAAAACAATGTCAGTTCATAGGAAAAATAATTTCATCTGAATTATTATATCTTGATAAACTGTAAATCAGAGGTCAGGATGATATGAGAACTGTTTTCATATACTCTCTCATAGGAAGCTTTAGAGACTACAACTCAATAAAATGAGGAAGAAAATTAAGAAAGAAATATATGATACTGGAAGCCACAGGTTGACACAGAAGAGCTGAAAAGAATAGTATTGAAGCTGGGTTCATGCCACATGCCTGTAATCCCAGGTGGAAGACTACCTTTAATCAAATGGTTTCACAATACTGATGTAAAGACACCTTTCCATCTCTGAAATGCTGCAGTATCTAAATTTTTTGGAAATTAGATAACATCAAATAGAAAGAAAATTGTATCCCCTAGGAATAATAAATATTGACTTTTTTGATTTATTGTGGTCTAATTTTCACACAGCAGATTCATGCTTTTCAGATGGACAATTGCATACATTTTGACAAATTTATAAATGATAGGGCCATTCTATAGTGCAGGTATAGAATGTTTTGATGATTGTAAATGTCTGTTTTCATCTTTTCCTGATCAGCTTCATCTTCTTCTCTGCAGACCTTGACATCCACTCCTCTGCTTATTTTCTGTATAGTTTTGCTTTTGCTACAGTGCCTGTCTTAGTTACTTTCTCATCGCTGGGACAAAATACTCAACACCCACAAGTTAAAGGAGGAAAGGTTTATTCTGGCTCACAGTCTGTGGAGATGGCTGGCCCCCAGGGATGGCAGTGTGGAAGAGGGGAAAAGCCTTATGGCAAGGCCGGGCAGGAAGCAGCCAGTCATCACAGGAAGAGGGATGAATATGCACATCCTTCCAGGCCACACTCACAGTGACCCACCTCTTCCCTCCAGGCCTTACCTCCCCCAATCCTACCCAGATCTGCCCTGGAAAGTGGACTAAGCCATTATCACATCCCCATGATCAAGTCACCTCCCAAAGCCCTACCTACGAGAGAAGAAGGATTTGTGGGGACATCTAGGGAACAGTGCTGTAGTAACAGAAGCATACAGTGTGCAGCCTTTTGGGTGTGACTTCTTTAATGGAGTGCAATGTCTTTGAAAGGACTACATGTTTCTGTGAGAATCAATACCTGTTTCTTCTCATTGGTGGGTAGAATATTATTGTATTATAATTGCATGCTTTTTCACTTTTGGCAACTATGAAAGATGCTTCTAAAAACATTCATATATAAATGTTTTGTGGAGATATACCTATCTTTTGGGTTAATATCTAGCATAGGATTGCTGCTGTATCACATAGTAGGAAGATGTAGTTTAACCTTATATAATATTGCCAAGCTTATTTCCAAAGTACCTGTAACATTTGAATTCTCATCAGCAAGATGTATGCGTTCCAGATGCTCTGCTGTTTTGGACTCAGTTACTCTTTTCCTTTTAATTGGAGCCCTTCTAATAGATATGTAGCAATATCTCAGTGATGTAACAATTTGTATTTCTGTAATGCTAAATGTGTGGACATGTTTTCATGTGCTTCTTTGTCATCTTGTTGTCTTCTTTAAATAAACAAATAAATCTTATGCCCACTTTTGACTAAGTTGTTTTATCTTAATTTATGTATTGTTTTTGCAATTTTTTTCAATCTGTGACTTTTTACCTTCTACATAATGTTTTTCCAAGAACAAAGTTTTTAATTTTGATGAAGTCCAATTCTTCAAGATTGAATAGCTTGGACTCTTTGTGTCATATCTAAAAAATCTTTGACCATGCCAAGGTTTTCTCCCATAAGTTTTATAGTCTTAGATTTCCATAGTTAGGTTCCATCATCTATTTTGAGTTAGCTTTTTGTATGCTAAAAAGCCAAAGACCTTTCAGTTCTTTTCTTTTTGTCTTATGAAAAAATAAAACATATTTTCTTAACCAAATAACAAGAAAATAGCAATAGATATTACACTGGATATTGTTAACTTCAAAATTGTTACTCAATAGAAGATATAAACCAAAAAAGATTCTTATAAAAAAGAAACAAGCAGATTATAACAGGAACTTTAAATTTAATTTTCAATATGTGGGAGTCTAATTGGTCCAGAATCACTTTCTTAAGAAGATTGTTCTTGCTCTATTGAACCACCTCTTCTCTTTTGTGTAAGGTATTTGACCTGATATGTTTGGATTTATTTCTGGACTCTTCTTGGTTTCAACTGTTAACTTTTAAAATATAAGAACAAATATATATTATTTACTGAACAAAAATCAGACCGCATTTATTTAACCTACTGTGTCTGTTATATCATGAATATCTCTCATTTTATTAACTATCTTTTGAAAATGTGATTTTTTTACATTAAATACATTTTCAAATGAGAGTTCGATGTTACAGATAAAATAAAAAATCAGATTGGGATATTAAGATTGGGTGAGGGCCAGGGATGTAGCTCTGTAGCACCCACGTCTGCCTGGCAAGTGCAAGGTTCTGAGGTGGATTCCCGGTACCACACACACACACAAAATTGGGTGGAATTTTAAATGTATGCCTTCATTTCAAGCAGGAAAGTTAGCATCAGTTTTACACACACAGACACACACACACACACGAGCCATCCATGATTGAGATTACCACAGACAGGTTGCAAAGGATTCTTTCTCTAAATCCATACCTGGAAAAATGAAAACAACTACATTTGTGACGTATCAGCACACAGGAGTCCCACTTGGTTATCAAAAAAAAAAAAAAAAAAAAACAACTCATTAGCAACAGCTGCAACAATGAGCAGAAGAAGTAATGCATTTTCAGCCTGTCTGCAGGAATAGGAGCATAAACCACATGGTGTGGGCTGGTTGTCAACTTCTGGAAACATTCCTGCCAGCTAGAGGGAGACTGGAGCTGTCCAGCCAGTCAATCTGCCTACCGCAGAGAAAGGCTTTTATAGCAAAGGCTAAGCTACAAAGAAAAACGTTTTAGATTTATCAAGATATCAGAAAACACCTCAGCTTACCCTGGTTTCCTTGTTCCAGATTGTCAGTTTCTCCTTCCGTGTGTGCACTTCCGCCACAAATGTCATTCTTACCGAAGAAAAGAATCAAACAGAAACACTAGTGTGGGGTGACTCCTTGTCCTGAAAGCACATTTCCAGTGCACTTTGATCACAGCCTGTTAGCATTAGCATTCTGTCCAGGAAGGAAAGCAAAGCTATTCATGCTGCTGAAGAGCAAACTTCCCCAAGGTTTTAATGAATTACTGTGTTTGTTCAACTGTTGTCAGGTGTCTCCAATCATTCTGTTGGTCTTACAGTACTATGTGTGTTTTATGAGTGACAACTAAACCAAAGTACAAAGCAGATCTGTCCTTATATTCATGATGCTATAAATTTTGAAAATCTGAACACATCTGTAAATTACAGTTAAAATGAACTCGGTGCAGCCTGATTTAGAATCACTTTCTTTGATTCTCCAAACATCTTAGAAATTTTTTCCTAAAGCTCCACAAGTGTTAGAAAAACCAATGATGATGCTGAAGGAATGGTAAAGACACCTACAGAGAAAACCAGTTTACACCGAAGGCCAAAGTAGAACTGCACTCCTTCAATTACCATTTTCTTTATTTTAATCCAAGGAAGCTTGGATAATTGCCAAGGCTGATGGAGGAACAGTTATGTCAAGGGAATCATTGAGAGCCCAAAGGGCAACAAAGGCAGCAGAGAATGGCATTTGAGATGTGGCTGGGTATCTTTTAAATCAAATTGTGGAAACATACAAACCAAGCTCTTCCTAGAGGAAGCCAAGGGTAACTGTGTCATATGCTTAGAATTTTTCTCTTCCTGAAATTTTAGTTTAATAATTGTATTAGATGTGTTCTATTCATGTATACTCATTTCAGTTGTTAGTGTATTCTTTATATTTAAAAGGAATCCCACTTGAAAATCATTGCAGGAGAGAGCTTCCACTTCTCACTTGGGAATGCAGAGAGCTTGTGAGCATTACTCCTTAATATACAAACGAAGAAAGAGGAACAGCAAGTTCACAATATTTTTTGAACCCCAAATAGTGTATCCACAATAACAAATTAGCTTAATTGTACTACAGGTCACTAACATTACCATGCTCAGAAGAACAGGGAACGACAGAACTAACATAATTAACATTGGCAAACAATATTTTGACTACGCACTCTGAGGTTAAAGACAATAAGAACTTTACAGAAATTCTGTACTGTACCTAACAAATATTATTTCTCTCTTTGAGAAAAATAGTATTTGTATATGAGTCAAGATTTTCTAAAAATATTCATTAAACATAAACAATAATTTTACAGTAGAAAAAACTCCAGAAAGCTTCTCGAGTACTTCTTATTACCTCATTCTTCCTAAGTACATAGCACACGATCATCAGGAAGACCACCAATTATTTAAGAAAGTGAATGGAAATTCATTTTTGAATTTCTATAATTACAAAGAGTGCAGTGCAAACAATCTTCCATTTCTATCTTTGTACAATTGTGTCACTATAAGCATAATAGTCAAGAGTGGAACTAAATGGGTCAAAAGTTTGTCTTAGTAAAATGCTTATGTTCTCCTAGGTATTTTGTGTTATTTTAGGAGTCTATGCACATACAGCTAGAAGATAAACAGATAAATAATCCAAATGCTTTCCAAAATGATTCTACAAATTATAATCTGAGAGTACATGAGAGTTTGGTAACATTAATGTTTCCTAACATTCATTGATCTCAACAGTGGAATGTGCTACCAGACCTGTTCACACTTGCATTTCCTTAATTATATGTCAATTGATTGTCTTAAAATCATTTTCTGGACAAGGTAGTTTATTCCTTTTAACAATTACCTGCACCTTAGTTTTGTCCATCTTGAAAAAAAATTTATATTAAAAAAGCCTCTGGTTGGGCCCTCTCTATAAATATAGAATATATGCAAAGGAAATATATATTTTTAGCAGACTTATCATTCATATTTTGCCTTAACGGGCTTGAAGTTTGTTGTGCATAAATATAAAATTTTGCCATAATTGTATGTGTCATTTACTGCTAGTTAGCCTTCTGGGAATTTTATCTTTCATAAAAAGGTCTTATTTAACTCAAAAAGTTAAAAAAAATTTCATCTGTATTTTGTTCTAGCACTATGACAGCTTGTATTTTTCAATTAAAATCCACTCTTTACCTAGAATTTATCTGAGTACTGTATAAGGAGTGAGATTCAGATGCAGTATTATTCTTTTGTTATTCAGACCACTACAGGTATCCAAATGTTACTTTTGAAAAACCCTAAGTGGATGGAATTGAATCCTATATCACACATTAACTTTCCATATGTATTCTGTGCTATTTTGTTCTGTTAATCTGTCTATCCATTTTTCCATACCAAACTTTTGTAAAACCTGCTTTAATAAATATAACAATATACAAAGAATCTCTATGACTTTTATCTCAGAAGATATTTTGCTGAATATAGTAATATATGAAGAATCTCTATCAGTTTTATCTCACAAAATGTTAGGACAATTTTCTTGAATTAGTTACATTTCATATGATTTAAAATTAATCTAAATTTATTGAAGAATTTAAGTATATTATTTTTCCACCATTATATCACGTGTTATACTTGGATATGTTCTTTTTCTCCCCCAATAACTCATTTTTAATGCTTTTAATAGAGAAGAACATACTAAAATATTTGTATGTTTTTATAGCATCAATTATGACAACATTTACCAAAAAATCACACAGATGCTGGGTTTTCAAGAATTAAATGAAAATGAAAGCATTTGCTGAAATTACTTCAACTAAATATAATTCATCATCTGAGTTGTGCATTTATGAATCTCTAGATGAATTCTTTCATTATGGAACAATCAAAATGCCCATTAGATTCTTCAGCAGGATTTGGCTTCTCATTCAATACCTTCTTCAAACTACTCTTTGTTCTAACACATTCAAGAAATCCTCTGGAAACAGCTGGTCCACACTGTGGCATAGAGGCAACATTTGGAGTTTGATTTTTATATCCAGCTCCCATGAGAAATACTTCTATGAGTTCAACTTTAGGGAATATTTATATATTTAATGGGGGCAGCAAGGGAGCCCCTTTAAGATCCCTTCAGGAAATCATTATATGCTCAAAAGCATAAGTCAACTTTGCATCTCATTGCATCTTATGGGGAAACCCAAGGGACCCCAGTGTAGTGAAATGAGGGCTGAGCTGCTGAGACCACAACTTCATCTTATTTTTCTTTTTCTCTTGATGCTGAGGCTGGCTGTGTAGGTGATCTCATGCAAATAAGGGTGAATATAGTGAACTTCCTGTGATGCATTCAATAATTCATTCATCCACTCATTTACTACTCGATCAATCATTTATTGAATGTCTGTCTTCTCTAAAACACTTGTCTGGGCCCTCGATAATATTAGGATTCAAGGATGTAATACTGTAGCACTTAAATATCCTCAATTCATAATAAAATGATGAATTTTATAGGAAAATAATGGGCACTAGAGTTTTATTTTTGGCAACATCTACCTTCAGCAAACACTTTTGTAAATGAAAAAAACCCAAACATGTTCAGGGAAATAAGTTGCTTCATCATCAAGGTTAGTGGCAGAGGAAGATCACATAAGAGTGTGTGTGGGGAAGGAAAGTTATCTCAGTCTTTAGTAGAAAAAGTCATTGACTGGGGATCTGAGTAGCAACTGCCAGGTAGCTGCTTGCTCTGCAGAATGGCCTTTGCCTTTAGCACTGAGAGATCAAAGAAAATTGTAGCTGTGGCAAACCATAGTCTCATAGCATTCTGATTAGACCCTCTATGAGCAAAATCATCAGCATTTAGATAACCTTCACTGATTAATATCAGCACTTCTTTTTTACGAATTAAGACATCAAAATTTCATGCATAAAACTAAGAGTTAATATAAAAGTAATAAAAATAGAGGTTCTCATTTGGCACTTTATAAAGTTTCATTTGTATTTTAATTCAACTTGTTATTTATTGATTGCCTGAGTATGAATATGTTGGACATAAGATTTATTTTATTAAACACCAAATCATAAAAACTGAGGCTCAAATTTTAAAATTTAATTATCTCAAATCATATAGCTACTAGGTGGTGAAGCTAATATTCAAATTATGTTTGTCTGATTCTATACCTGGAGTCAAAGCCTTATATACTCAGCTTCTTTGGACTAGAACTCTGAATTATACAGTAACAGAAAATATTCTGAGAATTTCTATCATTTTGTAGGTCTGTTTTGTAAACTTAGATCTAGAGGAGCAAATTCACAAGTGGTGACACAGTGTACTAGAGGCCTCTTGATCCAACTTTGGGGTTAGAGATAAACACACAAGAAAAGCTCTTAGTTTCCTTTTAGCTGTACCTAGAGGTAAAGTAAATAGGCACACGTATTGCTAAGGTCTCCCCATGAGAGATACGAAAGGAAGCGCCAAACTGAGTGAAATGGTAATGTGTGTGCACTGGGGCAGAGACACTGCTATGATCCTCTCCAAATCTTCAGGTTCACACCAAAATGGCAGACTAGATTGCCAGACCATCGTTTTTTCCACAGGATCCAGAGATGAGAACTGTGAAGTGGAATCTTCTGATTCAGAGGGAGTACAGACAGCTCAGGGTAGGGTTTGAAACCTAGGACCCAGGATGGCACCCTCACTCTGCCACCTATCGGCCAGTGACTCTAGGATTACTCAATTGTTCGGTGCCTCGGTAGTCTCCACTGAACATGGAGTCCAAAGACTGTGCTTTCTCCAAGGCTATGAGCCCTGCAATGTGATTGTTGTCCTGGGAGACATCTGCCATTGCAACAGCAGATCTGCTCGACTTACAGTGTTTCTGAGGACCAAGTGCATCAAAGTCAAGTAATGTCCCAAGTGACAAACATTCACTGAATGTCAGTTATTATTTTTACTTTTTAATTGTTATCAAGTAACTATATTTTTAAAATCATAAGTGCAATGAAGGCCAAAAAAATTACCAATCTTTAGTTATTAAGTCCATGGAAATGGTTTTATTTCTGCTGCTCTCTGCTTAATTTATATAAGTATACATCAGGTGGTTGATAGTGTCTGGATTGAGCTCTTCTTTAAAAAAACTAGGTTGTTCTAGATATGATACATATATTTTAAACAATGCAACTTGGTTTTTCCTCTCT